GATGAACAGATGAATGGTCATGTTTCGATAGAATGAGAGCTGGAACCTGTCGACGGCATAGTAGGTAGGCTCTGGAAGGTCTGTCACGACGCCAACCAGATCCTTGCCCAATACCTCCAGCCCACGCTCGATAATGTCAGAGAGGGGTGCGTTTCCAAAGTGAGCAACACGGCCGCCCTTTGCCCGGACTCGGTCAGTGAGCCAGTTGACGCGACGTTCAAGCTCCGTCTTGCCTACGCCTCTACCTCTAAGGGTGAGCAGCACGGTACCGATTAGAGCAGTGGGCATGACTACGGAAACATCGTTGATGTCTGACAACACCTTGTAACCGAGTGTGCGCAGGAGCTTCTGGCGGATTGCGGTGTTCTCGGGGTTCTTCGTATCCAGGTTGAGACCGGTAGGTAATCTGGACAGCCTTACGAGCTGCTCATTGATGAACCCACGCAAACTCCAAGGCTCATGGAATCGGACATCGACTCTGCCGAGCCTTAGGGACAAAACAGATGAGCCTCCAGAGACGAAATCTGCGAGATTTTCCTTCTTCTTGGGCACGCCAAGCAACTCAGTCACATAGCCCTCCGTCTCAATGACCTTGTCGTACTGTGTGCTGACCGGGCAGATGACGGCATCTTCCACTCGCCCAGACAGGATACTGTCGAGGATGAAGTTGAGAATACCAAACTTTGGAGGCAACAGCTTGCCTGTCCTTGAACGGCCACCCTCAATAAAACACTCAAAGTTGTAGCCTCCCTGCAGCAGAGTGTCGATATACGTCTGCACCAAGGTCGTGTAAAGAATATCATCGCCGAACGATCTCCGAATCCACATGGCACCGGCATGTTGCAGGAAGCTTCCGACTAGAGGAAAGTTGAGGTTGTCTCCAGCCACGACAACCGGCAGGCCGAGTCCTAAGCGGTAGCAGATGAGCTGCAGCGAAACATAGTCGACATGCGATCGATGGCAGGGCAAGAAGATGATGCTCTGCTTCTTCCTCTCGGCCTCCTCCGCCACCTTTCGTAGCCTCAGAACCTCTTCGCTAGAGACGTGGATGCCTTGGTGATATGCGCGCAGAGTCAATTGCGTGACCAGGTAATATGCGCTTCGGATAAAGGTCTTGCTTTCGAACTTGCAAATCATATCGTCCGTCATTTTCTCGGCCACCTCCTGAATTCCAGTCTCGATGGCGGCCCGTCTCCGCGCGCGCTTCAACTCGAAGTCCTTGTCATTCTTGTTCAGCAGGCCCTCCTTCTCCTCGACAGCGATGCGCTTCTCGGCTAGGTCGGTGATGCGCGACTGCAATAGTGGCGCCGACAGCACGGCATCCTTGATCTTGTCGCTGAAGCCCGAGTAGAAGATGGGCTGGCCGATGGCATTGTCGTAGGCGCGCCAGCCGGTGCCGGAGACATATAGGGAAACTTCGCGAAGGAATCTGGCGCATCGGCTAGTTAGTGTTGTTCCTGGATTCACAAGGGGCCAAACTACATGTGGACATACTGCAGAGGTTCGGAGCGGAAGCGGGCCATGTGCTTCATCAGGGCCTCCTCCTTCTCGTCGTCGCGTTGGGTTTTGATGTAGCCGCTGGGCTGCAGGGTGATTTGGTCGCCGAGGATCTTCAGATCCGGCGCGGAGTCGTCGTTTTTAGCCATTGCGGTGGCGGCTTGGGGTATCGTGGGGCAAATCGGGTATCGTCAAGTCGTGTCGAGTGCGTGGAATGGAATTGGTTCTATGTGGTCCGAAGCAGTCCGTTCAAGGTCCTTGCCATTGCCGAGTGTCGGTCGAGGAAGACGGGATCCCTTTTCTCGAACAGGACTGACTGCAAATGACGTTGGAGATTGACGGGCTACCCAAGTGAGTGTGGTAGTAGTGGGAAATGGCGGAGGAAGAGCGTGGGAAGTGTTTTGATCGTCTCTCCTCCCAGCAGCTCCTTGCTCCTTGCGCCGAGCGTAGCCAGAACCAAAGAGTCGCAGTGTCATGCCGCGGGACATTGGGTGGACCGTTGAGGTCAAGTGCCACCCACCCGGACCACTGATCCGCGTCCGCGCTTGCTGCCTCCCACCTGCTCCCACGCTGTCTCCAAGCCGAGCTCGAAGCCCTTGGGCGGCTTTAGCGTTTTCGGCATGTGAAGACAGCACTGCCAATCCTTGCCGCTGCTGCAGGTGCCACTGATGGATGAGCCAAGCAGCGGGCAGTGACAGCAGCAGCAGCAGCAACGGCAACAGTGACTGGCCAGCACATTGCCAGCCGGCAGGCCATCCTGGTTCCCGCCCCACCACCCAATGGAAATGGAACCTGGAGGCACTAACATTTAATTTTATTTTCCGCAGCTTCTCCGGGAAATCGCATGCGCCTGGGTCTGCAGAAGCAGCCTCGTCACAGTCATCAGTCGCAAACGACGCCAACCGACTCTTCGCCAGAACAGCAACTGCCGGAGCGTTGTCGCGAGGGCACAGAGACATCATGGCTCCCTCAAATCAGCCCATGACCCAGGCCCTCCTCGCCCGAGCGCACTCGCCCGATACCGTCAACCGCATCTTCACAGACAAGATCCAATACCGACCCCTCTACCTCAGACCAAGCTCCCCGCCCCCGTCCAACCCGAGATCAGCCCGCCGAAAAGCCCGCGAAGAGGCTAAGAGAAAACAAAAGCTCAAACCCAAGCCGCTCTCCGCGCGCGACCGACGGAGACGCGGCCTGCACGACGTGCCCCGCGATGGCCAGAAATACGCCGTCTTCGAGCCCCTCCACCGCTTGTGGCTGGGATACATTGAGGAGATACTGGGATCCGAACTCTACGGCGGAGGAAGCGGCGCCGCTGCGAAGCTGAGCGCCGCCGAGTTCCACGGCGCCGAGGTCGAGGTCTCTCGCAGCTCGTGCCCGAGCCGTGTCGGCATCAAGGGCATCGTCATCAAGGACTCCAAGTTTTCGTTCGAGGTCATCACACGCAAGAACGAGATGAAGATTGTGCCGAAAGAGGGGACCTGGTTCAAGGTCGAGATACCGGTGAAGGAGCCTAGCCTCGGAGTTGATGCCGATGCGACGCCTGAGGAGGGAACCCCAAGGCGATTTGTCTTCGAGGTTCTCGGCGACCAATTTCTCATGCGTGGCGCGGATCGGGCCAACAAGAAGTTCAAGAACCACTACTTGAAGAACATCTGACGCAACGCCGGAATTCCTCATTGCACGAGATACGATATACCCATACAACAGCTACGGCTGAGCCGATAACGAGGATGCGGGCAGCGATACGTCTGCGGCCTAGGAGCCGAACAGATACCGTTGCAGCATCCACGATTGGTCAAGAAGGCAGCGCGCCAGTCAATCATGACGTGCTAGCTCTCACGGGACCTTGGACTGGGCCATCAGCCAAGAAGCATCAGCCCGAGATGGGAGGACAGACTGCGCTGAGGATTAAATGGGGGAGAAATTTCACGACATCGATACTCCCTACCTTTAAGAGGAAGTAGATAGATGCCTCATTGGAGGATTAGCAAATAAGCTTACCACCGGTGACGGTGAGAATTCAGACCACGAAGGCTTTTGATAGTCCTATCCTAATACGGCATGCACAAATCTATGGAGTGAAGTATTGTGTCGGATGTGATGACCTGGGTACCGTTTTCCTGCTACTCAACGGATTCGCAGTAGGTGAAGGTGAAAACGCAGTCCACACCTTGGAGAGTGCTATGCCTAAAGGGACTAGGTAACAGTGGACGGAGAGGCACAGAGACCATATTATCCCATGTTCAGCACCGCGAAACTCAAGGTGCGATGCTACTGCATTACTGAAAATTATATCAATCAGAGACAAATGTCCGAGAGAGGGTAGGCAATTTGCAGCATTTTATCTATTCTTGAGTTTTACAAATTATTTTGAAAGAGCAATTAACAGGTGAGATGTCACTCAGACCGCACGAGCTTCACCATTTCAAAGTCTCTAACGCCCAATGGAAACGGTTCCCAGCCAAATCCAGCGAAGTTTCGACTAGAATGAACGTAGCCAAGATAATAAATAGCAAGCAAAAGTTCATCTGCAAAGACAACGCAGGTCAACAGGACCAACATTGGGGGAAAAGGCAGAGACTCAAAAATATATGCGCTCGCGTGTACGGAATTTAACCGCCTTGACTCCCCGAGGTGGGCTCGAACCACCAACCTCCAGATTAACAGTCTGACGCGCTAGCCAATTGTGCCATCGGGGATGAGACGCTTCTTGTTCGATGGAGACGTTGTCACTGTGGGGTGCTAAGTTGGGCAGGCCGCTAAAGCCTGTGGTTGTTGGAGTTCTCAGCGGGTGCGAATCCTCTGTAGTGGAGCCATCTGCACCTCGCCGCGCGCAAAGTTAGTGGGCGCCCTTCCGTATCAGGAGCTCACCATGTGAAAGTAGCCAACGCGGTGTGTGTGTTTTCCTTCCGCATGCAGCAGATCATCAGCAGCTGCAGCATTCCGCATCGTGAAAACAAAGCTCTGCCAGGACCAAGTTCAATCGTCACCGTATTCACCAAGGGTCTTAAGGCATTTCCCTCGTGTTCCCTTTTCAAAACAAACCATTGGGGAAGGCAAGGAGCGAATCAGCCGAGGGAATACGACAAGGCCAAGTGCCGAGTACATCAAGCAGCGACAGACCCTAGACACGATGAAGCGCATCACTGAGACAGGAGAAGAATGTCCAGAGACAAAGGCAGCCAATTGCTCATTGAGACAGCGTGTGTCTTCGCGGGAAGGCACGCCAGGTTACCTAATGGCGGCTACCTGCCTCCAGAAAAAGCAACGCGACGCGTGCGACGCCGCCTATGACATCAGAACTCCTCAGACCTCTCCCCGTCCGCGCGCCTTCCTCTCTGCCGGCCAATTCCTCCCCAGCACTTGCTTCTCTTCCTTGTGTTTTCGTTTGGAGCATTCCATCTGACCATTCGACATCAATCGATACCCGCGGGCAATAACACGACACCCATACTACCATACCCTATCCATCGTCAACCCACCCACCCACGTCCAACATCATGGTCAGCACACGTGCAGGAGAGCACGCCAATGGCGAGGCTGAGGCCAATGGAAAGGCCCAGGAGACCGCTGAGGCTACCGCTGGAGAGAAGCGTGTCATCGATCAAGACACTGCCGAGGACCCGCCTGATGCTAAGCGGGCGAAGAAGTCCGACGATGGCGCCCGTCAGACCACCATCGAGGAGGCCCTCGAGAAGCAAGACGATGCCGAGTCAAAGAAGCCGGAGGAAAACAAGCCTGAGACAAAGCAGGAGAATGCTGACACTTCTGACACCGAGATGAAGGATCGAGATGAGACTGTTGCAGAAGACGCCAAAGAGGTTGCCGAGACCCAGGCGGCCAAGGACGTCGAGGAGGCGGCAGAGGAGTCCAAGGCGGAAGAGTCCAAGCCGGAGGAAGAGAAAAACACCGAGGAAAACAAGGAGGCTGTCCCGGCCAATGATTCCAAGGTGGAGGCAAAGAACGAGACCAAGGAAAAGGACGAGGTTGCCGGTTCCAAGAACAGGGAGGAGACAACAGAGGAGACCAAGGCTGACGAGAAGCCTGCAACCAAGGAAAGCAACGGAGACACTGCCGAAATTCCCCACGCGGACAACAAAGTTCCGTCCAACGTCCTCGAGAAGGGCATCATCTACTTCTTCATCCGCGCCCGGGTCAACCTTGACGAAGCCGAAGAAGTTGACGATATTGCTCGAAGCTACCTCATTCTTCGCCCCATCGCTCCCGACTCCAAGCTCGGTGACGGCCCGATTGGCGATGCCGGCAACACCCGTTTGATCGCCCTGCCCAAGAAGGTCTTCCCTGAGAGCGGCCGAGACCGCTTCATGATGTTCGTCGAGAAGGCAGGCGCTTCTTTCGCCGAGCTGAAGGAGCATTTCCTCTCCGGTGACCAGAACGAAACCAAGGCCGGCACGTCGCAGGTCCCTGCCGCCACTCCTGTTGGCGAGGGCGTCTATGTCATCACAACGACCGGCAGGGAGAGTCACCTGGCTTACATGCTCACTCTGCCTTCCAACATCGGCGAGGTCCAGGAGGAGCTTGGCCTCAAGGAGCAAGGCAGCTTCATCTTGAGCACCAAGAATCCCAACAAATCCGGACCTGCGAACGCGAGCATCCCAGAGAATCCTGACTACCCTGAGAAGTAAGTATTGGCTGGTTTTAACAGACACGAACGGCGCTGAAAGAAAGCTCTAGGATCAACAAGGAGTTCCGAGACCTCCGATGGATGCCTACCAAACCCGAACACCTTGACTATGCCAACGCCCAGATCCTCTTGATCGGCGAGTCATCGGGGATCAAGAAGGCAACAGAGCCTCGAAAGAAGGACGTGAAGGAGGGCAACGAGGAGCCCGAGAAGGTTCTTGAACAGATCGAGGATGAGGATACGAAGCGGATGGAGAACCTCGCGGAGGACGACTCTGGTGCCATCTTTGCTGACCTCCAGGCCCGCGCCAAGGACTACCCAAAGTTGCAGACAACATTCTGATTTGTCGTGGATTGTATCTGGTTTTACTTGACAAATGAGTATTCGGGTTTCGGGGTAGCATAGGGTTCGCTGCTCAAAGGAACGTTTACGCAGACCCTTTTACTGTTAAGCTTTTCAGTTATTCGGAGCGAGCTTGAAGGTAGCTGACTCAAAAGTTCGGTTCATCTCACTTACAACTTATATGCAGGTGATGAAATTGCCCCTCAGTCCCAGCTGAAGGCCACGAGACAGATGAGATGCCGAGGAAACCGTGAGGCGACATTCGCGAGGCCAGCTGAGTCCTCAGTCTGAACTTCAGTCGAAAGCATGCTGTTTACGGGGAAGAGAGGTCCACGCGACGTGCCTCATGGAGAAACTCTTGCTATCGGAAGCTCGTGACACACATTGACCACACATGTCGTCCGCGGAAAAGAGAGCTTCTCGAACTCTCAAACTATTCCAACTCAGTAACACACCGCCTCCTGAGCATCAACTCGCCATCATCAGAGACCGAAGCACGCGACCCGTGCTTACATACTTTTCCCAGCTTGACTCGCCCGCCATGTCCTGCATCGGAGCCGCTGAATAGAATTCGAGGCGGCATTGCCTCAGATCCCCGAAACCGCGTTCCCAGTTTTTTTTCTTCCCTGGTTCTGGACTCAACAACGATCAGACGAGATCTTTCAAGCGTGCAGCTGCCGCCGCCGCGGTCGGAGCACCCAACGCTTCGGCGAGCACGACATTTTCCCTTCTTTTCTCTTCCCTATCAAGCAGGCGAGCCAACAACCCTTAGTCACAACCGGTTAAGCGGATCGTCTCCAGACGGAGGGCAGACCAGCTTACCGCCCCCGAGACCTGTGACACTTCGTCGTCGTGCGTATCTTCTTCGGGACAAATGCTGTCTTACCAGTTGGGCAGATCTTTGTGGTCCCGGCTGTGTAGCGGCCCGGACGCCACATCGGAAAGGTGTCGACGAATGATTCGCGCTGCTGCGTGCCTTTCCGCATCCCGTGTTGGCCGAACCTCGTTTCCCCGGCGGTGCGGCATTATTCCAATCGACATCTGAACAAGACATGCGCCCGACTCAGCATTGTTTCTGGAAACGACCTCACCTGTCAAACGTGTTTTCCCCCATTTCGTAATGTTTCACCCTGCCAAAAACCTGGCACCTTCCCCCGGTGTACTAACACGCAACGGAATTCGTTCGTGGCACATCCCCGACAGCCGCCGTGCGAGCCGTTGCGTAACTCCCGCGTTCGCAGCTCGTGTTTCGTTTTGCCCTCGCTCTCATAAGCAGGACAGGCATATGGTAACTTCACGTGTGCTTGCATGACTTTTCTTGCGACGCGGAATTAGCTAAGTAGGATCTGCTCAACAAAAATATAAACCGGAACCTTCTTGCTCTTGGCTTTCTTCTCTGCAAATGCAGTCCGAGTTGTTAGATTCCCTCCCAATATTAGTCATCTCACAGGTTTCAGTCTCATAGTTGTTGCCCTTCAAAGATGCTCTCATACTTTTGGAAACAGCCTCCAAAGGGCTTCAACGCCCAAGAAGCGCTCCAGAGCCAGGCCCCCGGCCACTGGCTCCCAAAAGACCGCAGCCTCATCGCGCAATGGGTCGCGGAAAAGGCGAAGCAGGCGCGCGCGATCAAGCACCCGGAACCCCTCGACCCGACCCTCGAAGCCTTCAAGAAGCTCGTCCAAGACGACGCGCACCTCACCAAGCTCGCCAACAAAATGTTCACCGAGTCGTCCCGCAAGTACCCCCAGGACCCCGTCGGCCACAACGCCATCAAGAAGTTTGACGACTTCGTTGCCGTCATGAACCTGGTCCTGCGCTCCGGGCCCGAGTTCGTCACAAAGTCGTCCCCGTCGACCGCCATCGGCCTCGTCGGGTGCCCCATCAACGCGTTGCTCGACTGGCCGATGGGCACCATCTCGGGCTACGAGTTCTTCTTGCGGCCCGAGGTCAACGCCGCCATCGCGGCGATCCTCAACGCGTGGGGCAAGTTCCTCACGACGCCCGAGTCGCGGGGGTGCCTCGATGGGTGGCTGTCCAAGGACGCGCGCGAGATGATTGCGATGAAGGCCAACAACGGCAAGACGAGCCACACCTTCGAGGAGCTCTTCGAGTGCAACCCGAGCTGGGAGTACTTCGGCTTCGGGTCGTGGGACGACTTTTTCGTTCGGCGGTTCAGGGAGGGCGTGCGGCCGGTGGAGGCGCCGGAGCGCGGGGCACGAGATGCGCGGTTCCCGGACCCGACGCTGGTGGTCGCGAACGCGTGCGAGTCGGCGCCGCTGCAGGTGCGCACGGGGGTGAAGCTCTTCGACACGTTCTACCTCAAGGGCCAGCCGTACTCGCTGGGCAACATGCTCAACTGCCACAAGAAGACGGCGGAGTTCGTGGGCGGGACGGTGTACCAGGCGTTCCTGAGCGCGCTGAGCTACCACCGCTGGCACGCGCCGGTGAGCGGCAAGGTGGTCGGGATCGAGTACGTGCCCGGCACGTATTACAGCGAGAACTGGTCGGAGGGGCTGGCGGGGGCGAAGGGACAGGGCGGAGAGGACCCGGCGGCGCCGACGTATTCGCAGCCGTATCTGAGCGCGGTGGCGACGCGGAGTATTATGTTTATTCAGGCGGATAACCCGAGGATTGGGCTGATGGCGGTTGTGTTTATTGGTATGGTGGAGGTGTCGAGCTGCGATTTTGTGGTGAGGGAGGGGGAGAGGATCGAGAAGGGGCAGGAGATTGGGATGTTCCACTTTGGTGGGAGTTCGTATTGTATGGTGTTTAGACCGGGCGTAGAGTTACAGATGGTTAGGCCCGGGCCGTGGGATATGGATCGCGAGCACAACTTTGCGGTGAAGAGTGCGTTGGCTATTGTGTCATAGATGATAGATAGACCGTAATAGAGTGCTGGTTCTAGATTAACGATCCGCACACAGCTTGGATGACTTTGGTACACAATTTGGAATTATCACCGCTGCTTCTTTCGTGGTAGTCGTCGCTACACATATCCATGTCTCTATTCTTGTCGTCGTCGTTGTCGTCGTTGTCGTCGTTGTCGTCGTTGTCGTCGGTGTCGTCGTTTTATGTTGGACGGAGTGGCAACAAGGTCAAATCCGGCTCGGAAATTGAGACTGATAGTTAACCCTCCCTATAATGGAGTTGTTCGTACGTTAAGAAGTTCCTTTCATGTACGTGTCCATGATGTCTCTAATTACAAGCCTCTGGTAGACACTATCACGTAGCCAAGTTTCATTATCTTTTGAGTTTTGCTATCCGGGCGGGTAGAGGGCATAGCGGGCGACAGAGGCGCCGACAACGACGACGACGACGACGACAAGAATAGAGACATGGATATGTGTAGGGAGAGGATAGGGATAAGGATAAAAGGGACGGTGGGGAAAAAAGCAATAGTTAAATTTTAAAATATTAAAATACAATAGATAACTAGGCTCAGTATAGATACTACGTAGCTATCCGCACGGTTAGCTAGAGGTATCCGCCCGGATAGCAAAGCCGTATTCTTTTGGTAGAATCGACCCTGAAGTTGACAGGGTGAAGAGCGAGGAAAAGAATTTACGCGATTCTAGAATCTACTGGAGCTTGACTTCAATTTTGTCCAACTGCGAGACACAACTTTCAGGCATTCTGCCGACGCCCACTCTCTCAAAGACTGTCAAGCTTCCGGACGTCTTATTAACCTGTGGCGCAACAAGAAGGACGTAGCATCTTAGGTCGGTTGCTGTGGAACCAGGCTTAGGGCGTGCCAAGATCACGCACTTTAAACCTGGTGTTTGACTGTTGTATTGAGAAGGAATGTCGAAAAAAAGGTCGTCGCCAGCTTGATATGTATCAAAATCTCGCGCGATGGCATTAATGGAAATGATACTGCTGCCACCTCGGCTGCTGCTGTTGCTGCTGTTCCTCGTCGCGGTGGGGACGGCCATCATCCACGGAGAACGAATGTCATTCACCTCCCAGTCAACGCCGCCCCATGTGGGCTGCAAATAGTCGATTACTCCTTCATACGCCATCCACGACCAAGTCGGGACAAAAATCTGTCGATCAGACTGAAACCGAATCTTGTTGAGCGTTCCGCGATCTGGTCGATGCCAGAGAAGACTTCGGAAAAGAAGGCCCTTTCCGTCATCGAACACACCATATCCCCCTTGTGTACAAAAGAATCGCATAAGTATCTTCTCAAGACCTGCGATCGCAAACGGTCTGTCTTGGATCCTAGAAAGCTGTAAGCTTGAGTATTGCTTGTAAAGCGCCTGAGTGTGATAGATAATTTCTCCTCGGGAAAAGCTTTTAGAAGCTCTAGGAAACTTCGGATCTCCGAGAAACGACGCAACATCGCTTTGAATTTATGCTAAATTAGTTCAAATCATTTCTTGTGGCTGAACGCAAACGGTGCAACATACCTCTTCAACTTAGTAAACGTCTCGCATCGAACGCCAGCACCGCATTCCCAGTACGTCTGCGTTTCGGTGAAGTAAATCGTTCGCCGCGCCAGAACCCGCTCTTGCAATACCCAACCTCTTCGATTGAGCGAGCCATCAATGACGTCGGCTTGAAAATTATCGATTTCCTCGCATATGTGATACATGTCTTCACCGCGGTTGAACGTAATGTAATCTCGTTCGAGTCTCTTCCCCAGGAAGCCGTCACATTGACCAGTCGCCCGGCTCGCAGCAAGAACACAGTACGCCGAGCTGAAGATCTCATGCATGCTTTTGGACTGCTTATGGAAATCACCATCGGGACCTTGGACGATACATAGCGAATCTATCCAAAGATACCGAACGCCAAGCTTTCGTGTGGTGTAAATGGCGTCTCTGAACGTATTTGGAAGTTTGTCGTAGTCGATTCCCTCCATGTGCTGTGCAATGTTGCTGGTATTAGTGCAGAAATGTGAATGCTCTTCTGGGTCTCCCCATGGATGTGAAAGTGCAAAATATTTATCTTGCAAGTCCTTCGTTTCAACAAGGCGTACTTTGAAGTCTTGGACGTCAAGTAATTTATCAGGCAGATAATATGTCTCGGTCGATCGACAATTCTCATGTGCTGGACTAATGTCGCAGTCGTCAATCCATTGTCTGATTATTTCGAAATGTACCTCGTGGCGAGAAGGGAAAATATGAGGATATCCAACTTGAATTTTGCTCGACCTTCCTGAGACACCTCCTACAGCGCTGTCAGAATCTACCTTCGTCCTGATACATGTTCATGGGTCGACTGAGGACGGAACTAACCAGGATTGCGCACTAAGCTGAGAAGCGGCGTCGGGACATCATCAATCTTGAGGATAGATCCAATCCTATAAAGCCTCATGTGTTCAGAGGCACCTGCCTTTTCAGATGCTTTTAACAAGAGTCTGCAAAACCCGCAAACCTGTGCATCTCGTCTCAGATGGGATATTGTGTCGGATAAGCTGAAATCTGACGACAGAATGTCCAGTCTTTCACACCTGCGGCATAAGTCTCGTATTCGAGCGAGACTAAGATCCAGATCATGATTACCACAGTATCGAATGATGTGTTCCGCAAGTGTGTTGTCGACGTAAAAGTCCCAAGTGTGGTTGAGCTGGGGGCCAGAAGTTAACAAGAGATACCGCCAGCTCCCATCAGGTCATAGTTGTTTGGATAACTTACAGCCTATTCAATTTACATTAGTAATAATTCAGAAATGCAAGTGACTCGAACAATAGATAAGCTTCAAACTTACAAGCTTTGTTTGGAATAGAATTAGCCACATTTTGTGCTTGAGCTTCAAACCTCCCTCAAATTGGTAATACGCACTTACCTTCTGTATGGTATGTTAGTGAATATCGTTGGTAATCAGTTTAAGCTGCTATTCGAGAGTTCGATTTTTCATTTTTATTTCTATTTTCAACTTACGTACTTGGTATTGTGTTAGCGGATGTGTAGTTTGCCACTGGCTCTATCTATTTACTCACATCTTCCTTTTCAGTACATGTTAGTATAAGGACATTCAATGCTTCGCAATCTAGTAACAACAAATAAATAAAATTCTAGTTAAAACCACTCACTTTTCTACCAATTCCTACTGAGGGAAATCGAACTCCCAAGTTGTTTCTTTTGGCAAGAAAATAGTCGTCGTGACCAACTCCTCGGTTCATAATCTCCTGCAATAACGAGACTACAGCCGCAGCGCGGGCCCTGAGTGGCCCGACCGGAGTCGGGTTGGGGAAATCTGCTGTGACACTAACAAAACTTGTATCGATAGCGACCCTTGTGTCTTTGTCGCCTTGGAGAGAAACAACCAAAAGCTTTTCCCTCACAAGCGCAAGAAGATCTTGGATTGCTGTCCTAGCAGAACATTCCAAGTCGTTGCTGATATAATCCATCCAAGCAAGTACCATTGGATGAACTTCAGCTTTGGTCCTATTTTCCCCTCTTTGGATAAAATAGAAAGACCCTGTGTCGGCCAGAAGGCCGTCGATGAATGCCTCTAGCTCCTTGCAACCATAGAGAAGCCAGATAATGTATTCCAGAATGATACAGCCCAGTGACCATACATCGTAAAGGCGAGACCTGGCTTCCAGTGGGCTTGTGACCGTTTCGGGAGGTTCGTATCGAGTAGTCCCATACTTCGTGTCGGTTGGGGCCCTCCGAACGTCCGTTACTTCTGTATGGCGCTTTGCGAGACCCATATCGGCAATCTTCAAACGTCCAACAAATGTTCCGTCTTTGAATCTGAGGACATTTTCTGGCTTCAAATCGCCATGACGGTAATTACCCTCGCCCTTGAAATGGTGAAGTGCTGTCAATGCATCCGCGAGGCCACGCAGCTCGCTGATAGATTGTCGGACTATCGCAGGGGTGATATCGGGTCGAGGGTTTTCTTTCCAGAACTCTCTCAAGTTTCCCCCATCAGCCCATTGAAACATGAAGTAGTGTCTTGCGTCGAGCGAAATTGCAGCAATTCTTTCAATAATATGATCGTGCTGAAGGCTCGCAATGTCAGATAACGCATTCGCCTCGAGATGAAAATTCATCTCTATCTCTTGACGCAGATCCTCGTCATTGTCAGTCGTAAGAATCTCTTTGACAGCAACGCGAGCTGAAGTCCCATCGGCCTGGAGTATGTCAGACAACGCGTTACGAAAATAATAAGGTAAGTCGTCTATGTACCCTAGCGTCCAGCCTTTCTAGATGGCTTCTGTGAACTTCTACCTCGTAAACGCTGCTGAATCTGCCTCCTTTGACGACGTTGTTGACCCAAACGAACGGGAGAACAACGTCAACAGGCAAGATGTGATGGAAATGATCTCTGGTGAATATGGGCGCCAAAAACTTCCACTGGTGTTGATAAAAGTTGCGAACTCGCATTGGAGCCCATGTCCTGCTTATGATCCGAGGTCGGAGTTGATTGAAAGGGAATGGGAGCTGTGCTGGAGCATTTCTCATCGTTTGATCCGTCCGAAGATCTTTAATCGGCAGGCACTTGTCTGAGAATTCAAGAGACTGAAAGTACGCCATAGTCGCAACGAGCGTACTTTCGCTACCGCCCAAAGCGCAATAGGCCGTCGCGAAGACCTTTTTCGCATTCTTATTGATAAAATTGAGCAGACTTTCGTCTTTCGGATCAAGAATGTCTTTCTCATAAAAGAGTTCTTGTTTCAGGGCTTGGGGGTTGATGAGCTTGTCAAGACATCCTTCCGGCAGGAACTCCTGTTTCGTGTCAAACTTGCTGCGCTCTAAGCGTTCAAGAATCTTGTCTCCGAGACTCGGAGGGGGTTCCTCAAAGGCCGATTGAAAGTCACTGTGGGGTGGTAAGGGGCTTTCAATCGTCGCCATGTCGCTGAGTACGCTGGCCAGAAGGGCTGCTCATTCGTGTCCAAGAAAACAGTAGAAAGATGAAGAGGCAAAGTGAGGGGATTTCCGTCATGAATCTGGAGCGCGGGGCGGAAAACCGACGTCCGACGGGCATTATAACAGGCGTGACGCAATGCATAGCTTGCGTCTACACAGGCAGGCTATCGGTGTCTCAGAGCCGGCATGGGCGACGGATGATGCTATTGGTGGTCAACTACTAATGAACGTGGAGACGAATGGCCCACCCTCAACATGAGCCTTAGCCAAGAAGGAAAAGAAACACTACTCCCGCAAGAATCTGTCTTGCGGGAGCTCCTCCCACGTCGGAACTAGTTGGTGTGGGTAGGCGCTCTGCAGTCATCGCCGGACCGGGGCCTCTTGCATGATTAGCCGTCGTTCAGCGATTGGTCTACTGTAATTGTTTCCGAGAAAAGCGGATGCTGCCCAGAGAGCCATCGCATCACGCGTTTTTCGTCTGCACTTACTCTATGTTGTTGCCACTAGTAATGCTCCTACTTTTGTGACCTTTTGTTCCTTTTTCAGCCCCAGAGTGCAAAGAGGCTTGGCGCCTAATGAGTGCAACATAGTCACGATTGAAACATGTGCCACACTCCGCCTTGTCCTGGTTGGGTAGGCCAAGACAGCAAAGGCAAGCTGATGGTGTGATGTCGTTAGCATGTCAGGCTCGAGGCAGGAAAATGCTAGTGAAATGTAAGGCAGGCTACGAGATTCCACACCACCCAAACAAAGGCAGTGGGGATGGTTCGCCCACAAGGCGACCACAGCGAACCACTCTCGACCTCAGTCATCCCTGGGAACCCCCAGATCTCCAAGATGGCCTGTATGATGGTGTGTGTTTTCTTGACAGATCGACTTCTTCACAAATGGAGCAGTCGCACTTCCCATTTCACCCAGGTACTTAATGCATTAAAGGAAGAACCTAGGAATTGACACCGCAGCCTTTTGTGCCACTCCATTGTTGCTGGACCATTATGCCCATCGGCATATTAAAACACAAACATTCAACCCACGGTGACGCTTTCGACACAAAGTCTATGTCTTTGTCGCACCTCTTGTGCCATACGTCGAGTCATTGCGTCAACTGCATACATCCTATATTGCGACTGCCTTGGGACTCCGCTATGAGCATGTCTGTCATGATCACCTCCAATAAGGAATGCAATGATTCGCTATATTGGGGATGGGCGTGCAACTCTGACATAGTTTGTTCATAAATAATTTAAATACAATGGGATGGACAAACGCTTGTAGATGTACAGAGGATTCTGGATCTCGAATCTCATATCAACAGTTGTAATGATCCTCCCCTGAACCTATAGAACGTCTTCGACACTCAAATTCGTGAAGCAAGTCTCACCCACCTAGCATCCAAGCGACGAATTCGAGATAGAAACACGCAAGGGTCCATATGTCGTATGATTGTTTGATGAATTTCTTCCTCAAGTCGCACTAATGGGGGCGGTAGGTCGGGGGAATTCGGAACACGACTCCGCCTCTTCAACTTGCTAGAGCGACTGTTTACTTCGGACAGGCCGAAATCTGAGATTCTGAGGGTTCTCTTGTGGCCGAGTGTGGTGTGAGTAGGGAATCAAGGTATATTCTCAGGCTTGATGTCACCATGCCGCCCGTACAGTAGCCCAGGCCTTCCAGAGTCTTTACCATCGACCAGAACGACATTTGGCGCTAGACACTCATTCTTTGGGGGCTCTGTCTGATCCTTGGCCCCGGTCTCATACTGATGAAGTCTGGAGAGGCCGTCAACCAGTCCGCTACACCGGTCGATCATTTAGGTGACGGTGCTAGCGTTGAGTACCGGCCTTTGGTTCTCGTATTCCCAGTAAGTTTTCAAACCAGCTCCTGCCCAAGGGACTATGAGGTAGAACGTCCCATCTCGTTCGAACATCGCAAATAGAGAAACGAGATGTTGGTGGACATCTCCACTTAATCTTTTCAGGATCTGGACTTCTTTTTGGAATGCATGCCTCTTTGCTTTGAGAGTTTAGTTATTTGATGGTAAAAGTGTTCGGTGAAGGCTGGATGATATTAGATGGAGAAGAAGCATGTTAAGTTGGGGCTGATTTAACCTCTGATGTGTCAGGCACATTACTTACAGGACCATTGAGCTTGCGATGGATGGTTTAGATGGATGTCGGCTTGGTAAATTAAGTTACAACCGCCCCGATGTCTTTCTCACTGCAGCTTGGGAGGGCCAGTAAACAAGAGCCCCCGCGTCACAGAGTATCCAAAGGTTTTCAAAGGCCACCTTGTCCTCTTGACCAGACCTTAGTGTTTCATACAGCTCCAGGGATCCGCTCAGATAACGATCAACAAACTGGAGAACCACCCTGAAGTGTGGGAGCGCCGGTAGTCAAACGTAGGACCTTCCGAGCTGCTAGGTATCGGTTGCACCAGTATACGACGAGTCTGACTCCACAGGCCCTGTTGGATCAATTGATGGAAACTAACATGCTAAACATGGCTATCTCAAGACTTGAACGAAGGAAACGTTAAAGTTGTCACCAACGAGGCCAACGAAGAACGCGTTTGCAACGCCCTACACCGATTCTACGCAAACAACCCCCATTTCAACACCGTCAATGGAGGGCGTGAGTCCATACTGTTCCGTGACACTGATGAGCGAAGTCACTGACTATGCAAGTAGTAAAAGAGTCGTTTCCAAGAAGACGATAGGATGGCCTTGAGGTCAGAATTCCCGAGCAGAACAACAAGATTGTCGAAGAATGGTATGAATCTCTGCAAGAATTTGCTCTAGTTCAGAGAAACATGTCATAGAATGCATGCGCGCTGACGTTGGCCGGTTAACGCCCGAAGACAGAGAGAAAAGCCAATGGATCATGTCTACACCGAAGGTTTCCAACTGGCTGCGTCTCGATGAATCAAATATCCTAGGCGTCAGAGCCAAAAATGTACCAGATGCATTATATCACCCGTTGTCCTTTACGGCAGCTCTCCTAACGGAAACACTTCAAAGATCAACTGAGTTTCCGGTGTTGTCTTTCTTCTGTGAGATTCGGACGAATGAGAAGTTCGACCGAGTCCTGTGCGGAAAACAAGCGATTGATGAAGAAATCGACCGAGAAGCCAAATTATGCCATTAAACTGTTCCGTGGACTTCTTGAGCTTCTCGAGGATGATGATGTCGTCTTTACCATCCTTGATTCTTGGTCGCGATTGTTGGGGGATAGAATTGAAGCTGACAAGGTCATCGAAAAGCTGTCTCAGACCACGAAGATATTTCCTCGTTTGGCGATCAAAATCCTTGTCCTAGACCCTCTGCCATCAGATTCAATACACGAATCGGCTGATTCGGAGCTTTACCTCCCGGATGAAATCGACGGTTGGAAGAATCATGTATCGTTAAGCTTGTTGAAGGCAAGTAACGAGAGAATGTTGGAGGACTTGAAGGATGTCCGGAACAGGAAACGCGAGTTGGATGAATCCGACTCAGAGACTTATAATTAAGACTAGTAGAATAAGAAGTATTTATTTATGTCAACGTCACTCAACGGGGTCTTTGTGCGCAAATTATGTGTCTTTGCCGGTCAGCCAAATCGTCCACACCGTTTGCGCCGCAGACTGATGAAAGGGCACCTACATGTTCCAATATCCATGTATGTTCGTGTTCCTGACCTCCTTCTTGGCTTCATCACAAAGCGCCGATACCTCGGCTGGATCCCAGCCTTTTACCCGTGTCAAGAGAGCCATCGAAAACCCTTCGAGTCCCATTTCGAGATTCGTGCAATGCCAGCGACCGATCTCCTTCAGCTTCGGATGTTGTGGCCACGTATTGAATGGCCATCGGGCTGTTCGACGTCGGATGTCGACAAAACCTGCTCGTAGAAGGTCAGGAATGCATTTTGGAGCATAGTCGAGCGGCCGGCCTATGGATCTTGCGGCTTCAAAAACAGCAACATGCCACCGCCACAGAGCAGAGTCCGTCGTAATGGTACCGTCATTGCAAGACATGGGAAGCTCGAGGTCTTGCATTTCGAACCAGCCTCCTGGATTAAGGTTACTGCTCTTATGTCAGTGTCTCTTAAGCTTGTTCAGAAAATACAGAATGCCATGTCTTACTCAAATGCCTTCCGGATGATGGATGGAAAGTCAAAAAAGCTTCCCGCCATGGCTCGGCAGAATATAAAGTCGAACGGTCTTTTCCACTTCCAGTCTTTTTCTAGGTCATCGATTTCAAAGCTGCAATTTGATGGCAGACTTGGGTCACTACAATCAGTTTACCTGCGGGTTGGGAGGTTGGTACATCCGTAACCTACTATTCTGGTTGAATTGCACTTAGGTCAACACCGATGACCTTATGATTGTTAGTGGGGAAGATCATGCCACGTGAGAAGGGTGATTGAGATCACTTACCTCAGACCCAGGGTATGCATCGGCTTCAGATACTGTTAGTTATGGTCACTCACCTCGTACAGTTTGTAGAGCGAACTCACCGAAATCGATGGCCCACACGCCGGTGCCCGTCCCCATGTCCATTACCCTCTTCGCCTTATGCTTCTCAGGGTTGCAAGCCAGCTCTCCATTTAAAGTGATCAACCAGATGTGATGCTGTAGTTCTGTATGCAATCAGACATCTGCCTCGACAAACCAAAAAAGAGGAAATGTGATGCTCACTCAGCCGCTCAACTTCAAGCTGCCGAATGCTCTTGTTAGAACAGATCGGACTCAGAAAATAATCGAATGAAAAATCAAGATACATCGTCGTTTGGGTAAGCGTATTCTGTGTCTCGTCAGTGAATCGAGTGGTCATGCCATCGTCCATGAACATACTGCCTCGGCTCATGGAATGGTACGTCCGCCCATTCTCAAACTCGTAGTCAAAAATGCTAGAGCGCAATGATATCAGCGAAGGTGCAGTCTACGAAAAATTAGCAACGTCGACGAAAGTTTTGAACGATGAGCTCATGTCCGTCCCACCTCGCTGAAAGCCGAGTCAACGTCGGATGCGGCCTCATCGAAATCCGTGTCGCGCTCCTGAGCATGTACGTCATTATGCCGACCTGATGTGTTCATGATTCAGAACATGGAAGAACAGTAAGAAAGATACCATTGTTTCTTGGTCACCATCAGAGATATTCATTGTCACAATTGATCGGCTCTCGGCCGCGATCCGAAATGGGTGGTTTCACACGGTCGCATTAGGCGGTGTCGTCGATTTGAGAAGCATCAGTGCGGGGGGCTTTGGGAAAGTGTCGAAATTCGCGGACGGATCACCGGGTAAATGGGAAGGGCGTCCAGTATTCTGCGCCGCTGCCATGCGTGTAAAAACAAGGGTTGTGTGCTGCCGATGGCTCAATTAAGCCTCTAGTGGGTTGCATCATTGTGCTCTCTGCGTTGGTCGGGGTACTCAAATGTTCAACCTTGGCGTTGGGCGCTGGCTGAGAGGGCTGAAACTTCTGTTTGCAAGGGAGGCAATTGCTTCTTGGTTTATCTTTCTGTTTTCCTGGATACGCAAATGCTTTAGATGAACCAGAATTGGAGAGGAGCTGGGAGGAGGCAACTTGAAACTTAGCAAAGCCGAGCGTGTCTGAGGGAATATGACTTGCAACGTCCGCATCCTTCCCAACAGACGGGCACCTCAGGTGTTCTGAATTGTCTGGCCGGTTGGCCCAATGGCAAGGCGTCTGACTACGATATATCGTGGAATCAGGAGATTGTGGGTTCGACCCCCATGCTGGTCAAAATCTTTTGGCTGTTGTAGAGAAGAGCGCACGGCTCGGCTCTTTCCCCCCCCTTTTTTTTTTTTTTTTTTTTTTTTTTTTTTTTTTTTTTTTTTTTTTTTTTTTGAAAGTCCGAGGCCGGGTACATGCGGGCGCTAGACGGGGCATGAGCCGGCTTGGGCCCACATTGAGGACTTGAAGACTGCTGCTTGTGATCAACTTGGATAGCTTGTGATGACGTCTTATGTAGAATGTTTTGTTAAAAGGCTGCTTACGAATTTGGAGTTGTTTTCCAAGTGGATGAAATGCGAAGCAGTCTATTTAAATCAGTGAAACCAGCCGTATCTACGCAGTTAATCCCAAAAGCCACATCTATCTATTCTACGAATGCGCCCGGGAGTAACAGCCCGAGTTACAGCACCCCCTCGGTCAGAACGTGACATAACAGCTCACATCCCGTTCGCCTTGCATGGATCATCTACAACCATCTCATCAATGACCTGAACACCGGGACCTCCAGGCGCTCCGAGCATAAGCATCTTCCCACCGTTGGCCTCTTGCCAACCAGCCTTCTCTGGAGCATCCAGGTTCTGTGCGAACCCCAACCACAAGTCCTGCATCGCTTCGCTTGTCTGGACTTCATGATTCGAGGCAGCAGCTATGAAATCACCCCTCGTACCAAAGATCTGAGGCAGTTCAGTCATGTGGTACGCGCCGGCCCAGAAGTACGGACTGATATCGGTAAAGTTGCCGCTGTATAGGTACCGGTACGTCTTTCGCTTGGTGGCTTCTCTCATCCCAGCGGAGTGCGCAGCTGGGCATTGGAAAAGGGCGAGCGTAAGCATCTCGGAGAGAGTGTCGTTGACACCCATATGCTCAGGGTCCTTTGGGAACGGGACCATGATGTTTCCTTCGCGCAGGTTGGAGCCAAAGATTGCGGGACGAGCACTGAGAAACCCTTTGGCGTAGCGATCGGTGTAGTTGGAAAACACCCACTTCTCGTCCGGAGTTGCGATGAAATTCAGAGGTGGCGTTGTCATGGAGTCGGTGTAATGCGAGAGGAAGTTGATGATGCGCTCAGTTGGCTGAGAACGCATGCAAGCCAGCTCAGCATCCGGGACAGGAGGGCAGCCGAGTTCTTTCGCCACAAATGAGAAGTTGCTATGCGTGGGATCGAGTGTGGCAAGGCCAGTGGAAGGTGGAATCAAGACATTGCCGCTGTCTTGGATGAAACCCCTAACGATAGGATCCGTAGGGAACGCAAAGTTCTGCGCATCTGTAGACGCAGCACCGGAGGACTGGCCCCATAGAACCAACTTGTTCAGGTCACCACCAAATGCTTCAATGTTGTCCCTGACCCACTCGATGGCCATGCGCTGGTCCATGAGACCTAAGTTGGACTGCTTGAGGCCAGCGGCATTGGGGAAGCCAAAGATGTTCAGACGATACTGCACTGCCACAACAATGTGACTCTTGCTGCGCTGGATCCATGCCGGAGGTTGCTGCAGAGGCACAGACGAAGATCCGGTTTGCAGTCCGCCGCCATGGATCCAGATGAAGACCGGCAATTTGTCCCTCTTGTTGACGTCCTTCGGAGCCCAAACTGAGAGAGAGAGACAGTCTTCGCTGATCGGGGCGAAGATGTTGTATTCGGTGACAGCATCATTGATGATGTTATGCAAAGTGCTCACAAACTGAGGGCACGCGTCAGGCGTCTTGGTGGCGTTGAAGGGTGCGTTGCTTGTATATCGTTGAGGTGGGGAAAAGCGCAATTTGTGTACCGCCGGCTTCCCATAACGAATGCCTAAGAACTGGCGAACGTCGGGATATGTTGAGTTGATGAAGCCCGTGATTTGACCTGAAGTTGTCTTTACCACTATACCATTGCTTGGTGTTGGCGATGCGTTGGCAGCATCGAGTAAGAACCCTAGAAGACAGGCCGGAAAGTATGCGGAGATTCGCATGTTGGAATATCCGATTGTGATCAAATAATTTGAAGATGTAAGCTGTGGTCTGAGAAGCTACTAAATTTTGCTGAAAAGTAGTTCTGGTGTCTGCTGACCTCTTGATCTTCTTGTTTTGCAAAACCTAGCCCCCAAGATGCAACCCCAGTCTTCTTATATCCCGTTACCGCATTGTGGACACGGCGTGACAGATACTTCTGTTGTTCGTGATACCTCCATCGCGCATAGCCATAATCTGAATATCCGAAGGCAGCTGCGTACCGGACATAACGTCGGGAAGGTTGAATCGTGATTGGCTACTAGTCGAGGTGGTAAGAATTAAGAGAGCTTGTCGCAGATGGCGCCCTACTTTAGTGTCAAAGATCCTGAGTGGCTCAAAACCTTAGGTTGCTGACGCTGAAAATTTCATGGTTTGAGCCGCGCGGATAATACCAAAATCCTGCAAGTTGAGAGTGCGCAGCTCCTGCCTTTTGGCTGTGCCGATCTGCCGATTCCTAGACCTCGTGGCCGTGGCCGGGTTCACAGCCATCTGTCTCCGCGCCACTTTCGTCAAATGAAAGCAAATGCGCCGCGTTCTCCGATCCTTCTATCGGAGTTAAATTTCAAAAGGTTTGTCACCAAAAAGGTAGTCTCGTGGGTTTGATAGCGAGGCACTTAGGCGGTTTCACTTCGTCGAATCGAATTGGCTGTGTATTACGCAAAGGTATCCTTATAATTAGGTATTTTGTAGCACCGAAAGTTCTTGTGAAATTCATGCACCTGGTCTCGCTGCCGCGGAAGCAATCACTCGCCGCACATTGTTGCCTGGTAGCACTATAGATGAACGATACACTGCGTTCAATCACGATGTCCAAATTTGCTCTTAGCCGCACGGACGACAAAAGAACGCCTTCAAAAGAAAGATGTCCTGTCAATTATCTGGCGTATCATTCGATCACGTCGGGTTCGTCTCAATCACCGTCGCGGCCAATCGGGTAGATCTTCGGTGCCGGAGGTGACGGGATGACTGAAGTTAGCTGGAGTTTGGAGCAAGCAATACCCAACAACCAGAGTTGCGGGAACATCTTCGAGACACCGTCATGGCAAGTCCCGCCCTAAATTTCCTCATGGTGCTGCTGCTTGCGTCATTCAATCCATTCGGCCTCTTGTTGTGTCCCGTGGTGCAGTTAAGCTCCGGTCTCCACAAGCACAGCCGGCCCCAATTCTGGATTCAACCCAGGCCAATCAACGTCAATATTTGCAACACTTGCTTTCTTTTCGGCGTGTAGGAAAAGTTCGCAATAATTTGGGGGTCTGATATTGTATGTCACGTTGTAGACTGGAATAGTATTGGATCTGAACTCTAAGAAGTCGTATTGATGTTGGGCCCAGAACATCTGGCAACTAATGCGAGAGTGGTGAGTTGGAACCACATCGTGTTTTGTTTCTGTAGAAGGCCGAGTTGAGTCGTTATATTCCAATGAATAGACTCCAGAAAATTAATAGTTGTGTTCTTTCCGGCGGGAATACCAAATATCAACATCAATTGGGGAACTACCATCCCCAGGCTTCGGAGCAAACATCCGTCCTATTCTATGTAGGGATCGTTCTCAACCTTGCAAATTAATAAAGCTTAACCGGCTACTTCTAAGACCAGCCGTCCACTCCGTCCGAGTACAAAATTGCGACTTATGCCAAATCATTTAAACACGCATTTCCTGCCACTTATTCCAGTTTTCTCTTTGAAGACCTCTACGCAAAGAATCAAGGTATTGCATCGCCCGATCATCACCACAATGAAGTTCCTCCAGGTCGCCACCTTCATGGCGTTGAGCCTCAGCGGGGTTTACGGCGTTCCTCAGATGCGGTAAGTTTATATAACAACTACGTCCACGCTTGGCTTCTTGACTAACTCCGGGTCAGTTCCGGCAATGAGGTAACCGTCGAATCCCGAAGCCTGGGAAACTCCGACGCGACTCTATCTGGAGGTTCCCAATCGGCCGAAAACAAGGAGAAGAGAGACATCGAGGTCGTCAGCCGTCCCAATGGGCCGGCACCGCCCTCGAAGGGAGATCCACACGGACCCCCGAAGCGTTCCTTGGTCGGGCTTGTCAAGCGGCCTAATGGGCCAGCGCCGCCTTCCAAGGGCGATCCTTCAACTCCCCCTAAGCGAGATCTGGGACTTGTGAAGCGACCCAACGGCCCTGCTCCGCCGTCTAAGGGTGACCCGCACGGTCCGCCCAAACGAGATGTGACTGAAGAGGCTACCCAGGACGAGTGAGATAACTTGTCGTTTTCATGGGCCCTTCGGAAGCCAGAATGATAGCTTGAGGGTTCAAGAATGCTACTAGCAGCACGCGATCGAAATACAATTGTTGAAGCATGTTCCTGAGGAAAGCCGTGTGTCTCT